CATGTTGGATTAAGAGATCAGCTAATTCCCTAGCTGACGGTTTAGCAAAACAAGGGGCAGAAAGGGATTCCTTGTTTTGGGCTAAGTTGTAATGTTAGTGTCCTTGTATCTTTGTATTTTCTTCTTTCCTTTCTTGAAGTTCTTTGTGACTCTTTGAAGATAAGTGTGTTTGTCTTCCACTTGTAAATTTTCTTGATGAATTAATGAAAGTGTTATTGATCAAAAAAAAAAGAAGCACCCTAGAAGGGGTCTTTGGTTTACTAAACATGGCCATTTGAGAGTTGATTAATTGGCTTCTAAACATGGGAAATGATATATAGATGTACAAAAATGATTTAAAAAAAGTTTAAATGGTTAACCAGGGGCATGGATGTAAAAGTTCAATGGGTGCAAATGTTGGCTAACAGCATGGCTGGTTCCTTAGCAAAGCAAGGGGTGGTGAGGGATCAAATGTTTTGGGTTCAATTGTAAACTTGGGGCTAAGGTGATTTGGAGGTGAGATGCTTTATCTCCAATTGCTCCTTGTACTTGTAATCACTTATCTTTAAACATTTAATTGAATTTACAGTTACGGATAAAAAATTCCAGTGATAAAGATGGCCATAGACACAAATGTGTACAAAACTTAACCAGGTGCAAAATTTGCACTGCAAACAAATAGAGCCTTAAACTTAATCATGTTGGATCCCCTATATAAAAGGTACAAGAGGTACTTTTGATCTGGTAATGAAATATCCCAATACAACTTATTTCTCAACATTCTCTTTTCAATACCGTACATATTTTTTTGTCCCTGAGTTTTAGACTATTACATACACAGATAGCAAATGGATTTGTACATTCTATTTTCTTGAATTTTATTTTTCCATGTTAGTGAAGCTAATTATTTGAAAGTGGTACTTACCTTATGCAGCATTGCACCCGGGCTGTGTACACTGCTCCAATAAAGACTATAAGCAACCAGAAATACAGGGATTTCTGTGGGAAATTTGATGTTGGTCTTCTTACTGGGGATGTTAGCTTGAGGCCTGAGGCATCTTGTCTTATCATGACAACTGAAATATTGAGGTCAATGCTCTACAGAGGTGCTGATATTATACGTGATATTGAATGGGTAAGGGCTTTATTATTTTTTATATCTTACTATATTGCTTCTCTCTCTCTCTCTCCCCCCCCCTTTAGTAACTTCACTGATCTTTTTCATTGGTGGGAAATAACAAATGGTGACTTTTGTAGACAAAAATCTTGTAGTTCCATTTATTTGCCATATTCTGGAATGACGTTTTGCTTTCTGGTTTTCCTTTTATTTTCTTTCCTTGAGAGATAGGTTATATTTGATGAAGTGCACTATGTCAACGATGTGGAAAGAGGTGTTGTCTGGGAAGAGGTTATTATCATGCTCCCAAGACATGTAAATATTGTTCTTCTTTCTGCCACGGTATGTACTGCAGTTTTTTTGGTATTTATACTTTTGACTAGCATTACTTCCTGGCTAGGTTCTGTTAATGATGGTGTCTTTTTTGATGATTTTGGACCACTAGTTTGTTTAGCTTATTTATGTTGCATAGACCCTTCTAAATGGATAACGTACTTTTGTCAGACGACACACTTCAGAGTCTAGCACTCCACAGATTATCGAGGACACTTCTACATATCATTTCTTTTTTTTATCCTCTAGCTTATTTGATGTAAATGAACAGATAATGTATATTATGAATGATTTTTTTTATCAAACATTACTTAGTTTAGACCCCCTTTTGCAGGTATACAAATTTCAAAAAAGAGAAAAAGACTTCTAATAGTATGTACTTTTCCCTACATGTATCCACAAGTCCATGTTTTCTCATCTTGCTGAGTCAGATTCTTGGACATGTGTTCGTTTTTGACTCCCATGTCCATGTCCTTGCAACATTGATCTTATACTTCTAATGGATTATTTTGTAGTCAGCTCAGGTAGTCAGCTCACTGTTATTCCTTCTTCATATTTAACTATATAATAAAAATATATTATGAAAACATGCCTAAACTATAACCATCCTAATATTGTTCTGTTCCAATCTTTTGGAAGGTTCTCTAGAACAACTACTTGTCTACTATGATGAATTGAGACAGTTGCAACAAAGATTTTGGGGATGGAAGGGTTGTCTATCAACTTGGCTAGAAAGCAAAGAAAGCCTGTTCCATTAATGGGAACAAAGAGCCCCAAGTATAGGCCACTTGGACCGTTGAATAAATACATCTATGCTACTTGGGCTAAGATTCTGGTGGTCATTTTTCTGCTACATATTGTAATTCTTTTTTTTGATAAATCATATTGTAATTCTTTTTCCCTCTTTCCTTTTTTTTTTGGGGTAAAATCCATATTCTTAGGGCTGCAATTCTTGTCTTGGTATCTTCACATATCCTCACTTTCTCAAGTTTTTCCCTCCAAATTTTTGGTTGCTAATTTTAACTTCATTTGAATATGCACTGATCATGTTTCAACTCCACCTGGTTTTCACAAAAGAACCCAGCTAACATGCTCAGATCTCTTTTTATGTTGATTGGTATCAACCAGGGTTATATTTGGGCTTTGAAAAGTAGATATTGCCTGGAATATCTAAGTCATAATACTTAATTTTCTAAAATATTTAGAACTTGATACTAAACTCATTATTAAGAAAACTTACTTTCTAGTGAGTACTGATAAATGCAGAAATTGCTAAATTCACACATTCTGTTTTCTTTTACTGAGGTAAGGTGATTGCATTTGCACATGAACTTAATTGTGCAGTAGCATTGTGTAGGTGCCAAACACAATGGAATTTGCTGATTGGATTGGTCGGACAAAGCAAAAGAAAATCCGTGTTATTTGGTAAGTAGTAAATCAGTAAGTTTTTAAGTGATTTTTGCTTCCTTAAAGTATAGAAGTGTTATAATCTTATAGGTTGATTAAGCATTGCATTTTCTTGAGGGCTTATATCTTGCTGCTTTTGTGTTCAAGTGAAGTATATTTTAGAAAGAAATCTTTTTTTTTTTTTTTGAGAAAAATATTTCATCAAGTATTTTAGAAAGAAATCTTTATGGTATCTTGGTCAATTTGATTTATGAAATTCTCTTTTCTGCTTTCTTGTATGTACTCCCTATCAGGACCTCTAAAAGACCTGTTCCTTTGGAGCACTGCCTATTCTATTCCGGAGAACTGTACAATATATGTGAGAATGAAACCTTTGTACCTCAGGGATTGAAAGCTGCTAAAGATGCGTACAAGAAAAAAAACTCAAGTGCAGTTGGAGGTGGTTCTGGAACATATTTGGGGTCTGCAGCACCCCATGGTGGAGCTCGAGTCCAGCAACGTGAAAATCATAGTCGTGGCAAACAACAAAAGCATTCTGGAGCCCATAGTGGAGGCAATTTTTCAGGGTCTGGAGTGAACCAGAACAATTGGGGGTCAAGAAGATCGGAAGCTTCTCTGTGGCTGTTGCTTGTGAATAAACTTTTAAAAAAGTCCCTTTTACCTGTAAGGAATCTTCTATCGTGAAATAGATGCATTTTCCTTGTTATCTTCACTTAAAGTATGCTATATGGTATTCTTGATGTCGTGTGTGGATATTATCTCACGTGTAGGTTAATACAATCGTAACAATCCTGCATGCTTGTGAGATCAAATGAGCCTTTTTTCCTGTTTTGTGTGTTTTTAATTAAAAGTATATGCTAACCACTTAGTTTTGGTGAATCCAAATAATGTGGCAGGAATAAAGCCTGTAATCAGTGTCAGAATGCTTGATCAATATGTCTTTTGATTTCATTACAAATCTTACTAGTTACCAAAATTTTACCATGTGATAAATTGTCATTCTGCTTTCTTTTGCTGTTCCAGGTGGTTATTTTTTGTTTTTCAAAGAATCGATGTGATAAATCAGCAGATAATATGACTGGAACAGACCTAACGAGTAGTTCTGAGAAAAGCGAAATTCGTGTTTTTTGTGATAAAGCATTTTCACGCTTGAAGGGGTCTGACAGGAATCTTCCTCAGGTTTTCTAGTGCACATATTCCCTCCCTCAACACCCCTGAAAAAAAAATTAAAAACAAAATGCTCATCAATTTCAATTAACTGCAGGAATAACATCCATGTGAATGTATTCTATAGGTTGTCAGAGTCCAAAATCTTCTCCGTAGAGGAATTGGCGTGCACCATGCAGGGTTACTTCCAATTGTTAAAGAAGTTGTTGAAATGCTTTTCTGCCGTGGTGTGATCAAGGTAATAGTTTTTACATATGTATAGGGGCCATTGCTTGGTGTAATGGTAAAACCTCAGACTGACAATCATGAGAATGTGGGTTCAAGTCTGAGAGTGGCCACTTTGTGCTAAAAATGCCAATGATTGGGTCCATATCCAGTTTATCCTTCCCAAGACAGATAGCTGGTGGCCATCGTTGGGATGACCCTTTTCTTTATCTATGTATGCTTTCCATTGGTTTAAGAATTTGATATTTCCTATTTGCTCTTCTTGTAATGTTAAGATGGTCACTATCTACCGAAGAGGTTGAATAGAGTCTAATAACATAAATGTTTCTCTTCTATTGGTGCATAAAGTTTAATCCTTAAATTTGTTATTTCTCTAGCTTCATTAATTTGATTTGACATGCAATTCTTGTCATTTTTACTAGAGGTCTTTGGTGGAATACTTAAATACTTTTGTTCCCAATATAGGTGCTATTTTCAACAGAGACATTTGCAATGGGTGTTAATGCCCCAGCAAGAACAGTAAGTCCTTTATTCTAGATGCTATGGTTGTAAGTTTTCTTTCTGATTTTGTTTATTCTGGTTTCTTTTGTAAATTTACTCTTCATCATTCCTAATTTGCATACCGATTTGGTTCTCAAACTTCTGATTGGCCAATAGGCAGGTTTTTACAACAGCACAATTAGCTCTACTACCTTTTAGAAAAAGTAAGCTGTAAGTAACAGAATGGCTTATGAAAGAAGTGAACTTAAAACTTTGTTATTTGTTGATTGTATATGTTTATAGAGGATATGCTATGATAATGGGAGATTTTCCCTTTCCCTTCTCTTTGTTTGCAGTGCAAATTTGAACTGGATGCAAATTTTACACCTGGTTATATTTGCATCTGATTTGTCTATATGATTTGCAGTCCCACCTGATTCTCATGTAAAGTGGGTATCATGTCAATTTTTTTCTGTATTTTACTCCCAAACAAACAACTGTCCTGCCTTAATTTTCATTCATTATAAAGTGGGGACCACATCATTTTACTTTTCATTTTACTCTCAAAAGTCATAAACAAACCAAAGAAAGCAAAACCTGAAGGAAACATAAACCAGAGTTTACAGTCAGTCCATTTGCTCTTCCATGCATTTACATCTGCATTGCAAGCAAACAGAGCCTTAGGGATTTATAATGTGCTTGTGTGACTCTGTTAGACTCATTTTGACACCACAAGTGTGTGATATGCATCGGATGCAAGGTTGGACACCTAGTGTTGTGACTATAATGTGCATAATGGTTTCTATAATGCAGTGTTGCAACTTATATATTGATAATAAGACTTTATTAAGAATATAGAAAAAATACAACCAAAAGGCACCCTATCGATGAAATCACCCTAAGTCAAAAAGGGAAAAAAAACAAAAACAAAACCGAATGAATCAAAACACACACACACACATGCACATTCTTCACCACTGAACTATTGACTGGACAGTTAGCTGAACTGGGAATCCAGAAGAAAAAGCCGTTACTTTGGAGGTCCGGTTCTTTTTTTTTTGGATAAATAATTTAAGATTTCATTAAGGAAATAGTTGGAAATACAAACTTCCCGTTAAGAAGTGCGAGCTGCATCCTCTCCAAAGAACACAAAGAAACAGAAAACAGAAAAACAAATTCAGACTACAAATGAGCCCAATACAATTGTTCCCTGTTTGCCCCTTGCTTTGCTAGACAGTCAGCCAAAGCATTTGCTGATCTCCTCACCCATGTAATATTAACAGCCAGGCTCCTTATCAGCCACTTAAAATTTTTTAATTTTATTCTTAAAGCTCCACACAATAGACTCAGGGTTCTGTAGCCAGACCACTACCACCTTGGGATCCCCTTCTATTAGTAGTTGTTGCACACCTAGCTGAACTGCAGGCTGTACACCCTGGATGCAGCTAGCAATTCTGCTCTTGTAGAGTTCCCAATCCCCATGGGACCTGAGTAGAGGAGGACCACAATGATCTATAGGGCCAGTAGCTATCCAACCAATTACCATCTACAAGTACCCCTGCTCTTCTACTTGCATCGAAGGAGTAGTCTAAGTCTCTGGAACAGGTAAGTGAAAACCATAATGAGTTTAGCTTCTTGGTCTGTATAAGCACCTTCTACCTGACTGAGTGTAGCTGGGGCTCACCTTATTATATATCAACCTCCATATTTATCCTTCTTTTATCATTTGGTAACTGAAAAATTGCGTATGGTTGCATAACATCTATAGATATATACATGCAAAGATACATACATGTGTGCTCATTTTTCCAGATTTAGAGGTCTAGTGGTTCTCTAACACATCATATTCATTTCAAAACATAAGACTTGTGAAATTTACCAACAAACATTTCATTTGACTTGCCCCTGTCTTGGCAAGTTCGTCCACCAAGTTGATTTCTGAATTGGGGGGAGGGTGGGGTCCATGAACATGTGTTTCTCAGTTCAGCAGCCATTTTTTTCTTTTTTAATTTCCCTTTTCATATGCCTGAAATGCCATGCTCTTTCTTCATCATTCTTCAACTACCCTATTACCACTTGAAATCCCCCTCCATTAGGATGTTTTTTGAAATTCACTGATTTTCAGCCCTTGTCGAATCCCCAGTCCCTACTTGTCCAAAGTATACTTCCAAGATATTCCCCTTAATGTTTCTAACTGCCCCCCCTACTCTAGCCTAGATGGTCCTGCTTTTCCCAAGTTGGACACAGCCAAAGTTCAGTTTAATCCATCCTTCTTGGGGGGTTTGGGGAGGGGGGCACATATGTGTCTGCACTGTTCTTGCAGAAGAGGAGGCCACTTGCTGCTCATTCCTTTGTAAGTTATCAGCTCAGAAGTGTTGGAAAGTCTCTAATTTCGTGACCACAAAGTTTTAAAGCATCAGTTTCACAAATTTCATCCTCCTTTTCCAGATAAACATGTATTTCGATTTTCTTTCAGGTTGTTTTTGACACTTTAAGGAAGTTTGATGGCAAGGAATTTAGACAATTACTTCCTGGGGAATACACTCAAATGGCTGGCCGTGCTGGACGGAGAGGACTTGATAAAATTGGTACAGTAGTTATAATGTGTCGTGATGAAATCCCAGAGGAGAGGGACTTGAGACATGTAACAGTGGGAAGTGCAACAAGGCTTGAATCTCAATTTCGGCTCACCTACACAATGATCCTGCATCTCCTTCGTGTTGAAGAGTTGAAGGTACTTCTGTAATTTAATTTTTCAAACTCAGAAAAGTTACTTCCAGCAGATGTGCTTTATATATTTGGTGCACTTTCTACTCTATATCATATATCTAATGTTCATAGTTCCTTCTCATAATATCACTTGTAAATAACATACACCAAGTATCAGGTGTTGAATTACATACAGCTTTTCAAATAAAAAAATGGTCATATCCAGTGTTTGGAAACCTGTACTTGTTTGGAGAGTTTAACTCTTTTTTTTTGATCAATAACAGAGATTTCATTAATTGATTAAATGCTAAAAAAATTCAATGGGAGCTAAAGTAACTCAACTCCCTACAAATGCCACTAAAGCCAAAAAACCTAAAAAATTGCAGTTGAGCCCAAAAAATGGAGCTCCTATTCACCCCTTGTCTAGCTAATCCACCTGCAAAAGAGTTTGCACTTCTCTTTATCCAAGTGCATCGAACTTCCATATCTTTTGTCAGCCAGTTGTATTTCCTCTTTTCATTTTTTTTGATCAATAACACTTTCATTAAATCATCAATAGAAGATTTACAAGAGGAAGACAAACACACTTATCTTCCAAGAGCAGCAAAGAACCTCAAGAAAAGGAAAAAAAAGAAAGAAAGAAAAAACACTATAGTTACAGCTTAGCCCAAAACAGTGAATCCCTTTCTGC